ATTTCTGGAGCTGCATAAGATTCCTGTAGCCTTTCCCATACTTTGCTTAAGGCCATTTTGGGATTGTTGACATAGACATAGCAGATGCGTTTGGTCAGGTCACTAGAGTCCTTTCCCAACCATTTTGTCATAAGGTCTAATTCTTGAGTCGCTGTGAGCTAAAGTCCCTCAGTTGCACTAGTGAATGAGGAATACCATGCACGGTAATTCTCTGGTTTATCATCAAACTGATACAGCCCTGAGTTGACAAGATCTCTTCGTGCCAGATACTGTGCCACAGGTTCTGCTCCAGGTGGTGTGGTGGCTGGAAGAATGTATTGAGGTGTGCATGGCTGAGTATGTACATTCATACTGGGGTTCATTACCTTTTCACCAACTTTTAGTGAACCAGGTGAGTTGTCACTTGTGCAGGCCTTCAGTTTGTAAGCAGGGGCCATTTGGGAGTCCTCCTCGACAGGTGGGCGTGACATAACACTGTTACATTGTAATTCTGCTTTAGGTGGAATACCAACAGGTGTGTATGAAGATGAAGACTGCTTTTGCATGTCGATTGGACATATTCACTTGTGCGTTCCAGTCTAATCTTTTCTGACACAGATTTTCCAGTCTCATCTAAAACCTGTAGTCCTTCTGCATTTTCCAGCACCTCTGCTTCTGCCATAGCTGCATCTGCTTCTCTCTTTAGGTTTAACACTTCTAGTTCTACGTCTATTCTGGCCTTTTCTAACTGGTTTTCTGCCTCTTTGGCAGCCCTTGGACCTTGTGTTCAGCCTCTTTGCTGGCTTATGATGCACGTACTCTGGCAGCTTCTGCTCTAGCTCGAGCAATGGCAGCAGTACTTGCTGATGATGATGATGTCTCGCCACTCTTGGCGCTTAATACAGATGACTTGGAGCTTGATCTTGTAGCCATTATACCACTTGTGGAAACATCTGATAATTTTGCCTTTTTACTTTAGTGTTCTTGTGCAGCGTGTTGATACTCTGACTTAACACCGAGTTAAACCGTAGTCAATGAAGAGGTCGTAGCAAGATCAAAACATTTACTGTCCACTCTTCATATAACATCACGGTAAAAACTGCAAATAAACAATACAATAAACACTGTCAGTTATGCTTATTTAACCAATATCTATACTATAAATGGTGGTACACTTCAACACACATTCAAATGCATAGTATCAGCTAGCTTATGCACAACTGTAAATAAACTTCCTCAACGTCACATCTAACTCTTTTTAAAACAATCATAGCAAATGTTAACTATACTATGTCAACTGACACATATCATAACTTACGGCATTGCTTCTATCACGTTTCCTAACAGATGAAAATGAATACACATGCCGCAAACAAGAGCCTTACGTCCGCCATCTTTCTTACTAACGTGAAATTGCTAAAAACAGGAAGTGACGTCATCACCCGGTGCCAATCGGTAAATAGATTTAGCGTTATCATTTCTTTTTACATATGTAATTATTAACCTGGCCCTTCACCAAAATAGATAACAACTTCAACAAATAATTAGCTAAACAAATGCCTTAGAGGCAACACAGAGCAGTAAACAGATTTCTGACACTAAGCATTTAACTTCATCACTGTCAGCTGCAGAGCCATGCTACTGTAGTTGTCTTATCTATATAATAGGAACATTGCATTGTGGGAGTATTAGTACTGTGCATGGTATGGACACCTTTTATGTTCCAATGTGTAATTCATGAGGCCACTATATAGCCCTATAGACACATTTGCATGCCCAGAATTCAGATATTCAGAATAAAAGGTGCCCTATGTAGTAAATAGAGAGCTACAGTATGTACTAATTCATGAGGCCACTATATAGCCCTATAGACACATTTGCATGCCCAGAATTCAGATATTCAGAATAAAAGGTGCCCTATGTAGTAAATAGAGAGCTACAGTATGTACTGTATATACCATAAAAAAAAAATAAAATAAAAAAAAAAATCGTTTTTCAGGCTTCAAAATTCCAGCATGTGGGTGCGATACAGTAATGGTAGGCACTGAACTTAAATTCCTAACTTAACAGATAATAAAAACAGTAACTCAGTAATTTTCCTTGGACAACCCACTCAAATTTACTGTGATGAGTTCTCTCTCTGAGGGGCAAATACTGGCTTCCTGAAGGCCGAGCCTGGTAAGTTAATCTCATCAGCTCTGTGATACAGACAGACTAATGTACAAAGCACTGAGAAGATGGCTTTCATGAGCTCAGGCCTAAGGGGGTCAGTATTGATGAGCTGGTGCAAAATTGCTTGGAGAAAGGGAGATGAAGGATGAAGAAGTGAAGAGAAGATGAACAGGATAATAGGTTTACTTAAAAAGAGCTGGAGTGGAAAGCTGCTCGAAGCTCAAGGAGAAATCATAAAGTCAGCCAAAAGAACCTTATGTTCTTTTTTGGTCCCATCAATCCTTATGGGTATACAGTTTTTCCCACATTATAAATAAAAATATAAAATGACTTCCCTGGGGTTACCAAATTCAACAAAAAGCTGTTCACACAGGGTGATGTCATAACCCCTGCCAAGCCTCTGGAGGAGCCATCCTCTCATGGCAAATACAACGGGTACATCCCACTTCCCTTGTTTGATCGTTCCGGTCCGCAATCTTGAAGCACATCCCAAATCTCGTATTTCTGCTGTAAGGAGCAATGATCAAGGAGGCTGGAGACATGAGTGAGGATACAAGAGACAATCCTTTGTGGAAATCTTTTATGGACAGACACACCTTTATTGGAAATTAGTTGGTGAGTGGATGCCTCAGATGAGGGATCGGAGGAAAGGAAAAGTCTCATTACTGTATAAATGTGTTTCCTCGATTCACATTTCCTTGCACCCTTTCTTCGCATCTTACATGGAAGGGACTAAGAAGTACAGAAAGACGCAAGTGAGGGAACTGAGATGTGCCCACTATCTCTCACTAGGTAGAACTGCAGTGTTCTTACCTATCAATCACTGGCATTATTAATTATTTGCTGATTATTTCCTTGATTAATCAGTGAAAGAGCACATCCATAACATCTGAAAATAAGAGAAAATGCCAATTTCACTATCTCGAACACCCTTGCTGACGTCTTCAGACTGATAGTTTTGTATGAGATTAATTTATCTTTGGATATCCAAGGCTGAGTTGAAGCCAAACTACAGGAACAAGGTTAGGCCAATAAACTGGCTGCAAGAGATAAATCTGGAGCTACTCTCTACTCCGGCCTTCTAGAGAAGGTTAAACAGGCTTGATATCCATATTACAGCAACACTCCCATCTAGCCATGAACATTAAAAGACCAAATGAATAAATGTTTTTCCTGCACCCTTCCCATGATCTCCTTTACTAATGTCTCACTCCAGCACTCCCTGCCTCCAGGTCTTCTAACACAACCTCACTCTTTTCATCATTCATGTGCTTTATTGCATCAAAGTGGGAATTTGTCTTAGGCTTTAGCAAGACTGGTCCAAAAATAAACAAACAACATCTCAGGACTTTACATGCAAGAAATACAGATGAAAATATAGAGGGACAAAATACAGGCTTTGAATATTTTGATATTAGAAATCTCGTCACTGGCTGCAAAAGAACAATCTAAGAGAAAGTTTCTGTGCTCAGAATTCACTAGTTAAATACCAGAAGCCAGCTTTGTACATAGAATTGTATAACAAGGCCAAAGCCTTACAATGGCCGCCATTATCTTGGCTTGTGATGTGGCCATGACAGTGCCGGCACCGACTGGCATTGGGTGCATGTCGGGCAAATGAATCATCAAATGTTTCTGGGCGCCTTGATATACTGAGCTTGGCAGTGACAGCCCAGCTAAAAACAAAGAGTTTATACTGATTTGTAGGAGGGAAAAGACTCAGTGGGAAATAGGTAGTCCTCCAAAAAGAGACATGGGGAAGGCCAGAGGGCTGTTCACAACCCTGGGTACCCCAACTGAGGTTCTGTGTGGATCTGCTGTCTCCCAGGAGGGGCTGAAAGCACAGTGGGAAACAAAGCCCTGCTTACTTTGGGACTATTCCCAGGACAAGGCTCTTTCTTGGTGTGCTGATATCATCTGCATAGTGAGAGGAAAAAACATAACCTCAAAGCTTGGAGAAAAAAAAAAAGAACCCCCACCCCCCCATCTCCGTGAAGACAAGAGACAGCATTAAAGAAGAAACACAGTAAGAGACTGAAAGAAAGACAGGATAATTTCCTCCTCAACTACAGAGTGCACTTTATCTGACAAGTACTTTTCAGCACTGAGCTCCCAGGACTTAATAACAACTGTTAAAATGCTGCGCTATGTGCCATGGTTACCTCCTCAATGTGCAATATCCACTAATGACAACAGTCTTTTTTGGGGGGCTGTGTTTAAACATAATTCACCACCATTTACTAGCACCAAGTAATTACTAGAGAGAGAGATGATTATTTATTTTGTCCCATTCACATGACACAATACAACACAGTGCCTCTCTTTATCAGTAATCTTTCAAACTTTTCACATTTATGCATTTTTAAAATCCCCAAAATATTCTTGGTACGACTGATAGTAGCTACACCACCTATCAAAAGGTTTGGACACCCTTTCCCGTTGAATTGAAAGGGAAAGGGTGTCCAAATTGTTCTACTTTCCTAGTCAGAACAGTTGGAGCCAGGAGCTAAAATACCCTATCAGGATGAGTTGCATCACAGATTAACAATGCACATGGACCAGTGTGGTGGACTACGATGATGCTTACAGACTGAAAAAGACAAGAATGTAAAGCATCTACATCAGGTATGTAGCAGGAAAGAAACTTAATAGTATGTAAGTAAAAACTGGATAAATCTCAGTGTAGTAAGCCATTTAGTTTCAGCTCTAGGCACTGAACCAGAATAAAGGTGGTCTTTCAACTGGGATATAACTTTAAGATTTACCACCTAAAACAATAAAAAGCTGCTAAGCATAGTTATGTTACAATGTAAGAAAGAAACTATCAGGCAAAAAGGCTGACCACTTACCTGAACAACTTCTATGCCTCTTTTCCTGAAAAAGAATAAAAAGGTAACAGTCATTCATTTTCCAAAAAATATCTCGACAGCGATCAATCACAATTAAACACAGCCATACACTGAAAGCCATGCAATGTATGTCAGCACTGTAGGTGCTGTCTGTTATTGTCCAAAAACAATGTCTCTGGCTCAAAGAAAAGACTTAATTGAACCCACAGACTATAAATGAAAGAAATTCAGCCCTCTATTGGATGTAAATTCATGTAATATAAGCCATGTAAGATGTGTTTTTGCATCTTATACTCTTTATTGTGAAGGGTACTTTTGCTCTTTATGCCAAAAAAATAATCCCTCTCTGTAAGAGGAATTAAACTCATAGCTCTTCCGTAATTTGACTACATGGACAGTTAGTGACATGAGCTACTGACACAAAAGGCCACCTGTGCCTTTCTGTAAAAAAATTAACAGAGTAGAATCATTGTGGTTGAAATGCCACATCTCACCCCGTTGCTAGAGAAGATTCTACTCTCCAGAAAGAGCACAGAAATACTAGTCTTTGGATTAAAACTGGTTGCTTGGCAACCAGCGGGCCCCTCGGAGTGGAGGTGACTATCACAACATAGTGAACATCTACAGTGCCCACATGGGGAACTTAGATCTCTTCTTCTTATCTCTAACAGTGCACAACAGTACTGAAGCCGCTGACCATTAGTGCATACATTTGAAAATGAAAGGACTTCTCTATTTTTTTATAGACATACACATGATGAGGATTAAAACCTGCTGGATTTATACTTTAATCCTATAGAACAAGCGGCCAAAGAGAGTAGAAGAGAGCATTTCTGGTGGAGCCGACTCGCCATGTATGCTGTCCAAAATAAGTAAATCCTGAAAGACCGAAACAACCAACTTCTAAGCTGAGTGAATTTACAGTGAGGACAAATCTAGTCCAGCAGCATTACCAGCAACTCAGCCTGCCCAGACCAGTTGTTTGTTAGGTTACAGCCCCATGGTAACAGAAGCGCAGCAATTCACCGCTTCACAAAATGTGGATATTTAATACCGCAGCTGGCGGGTTTCATGTGGTGTGAATTGGGCCTTTAGTTTCATCCCATCTCTGAAATGGAGATTGTTTGCTCTCCCATATTGTCACACAGCCAGCAGAGTGAAAGGGATGACAGAGAAAACCCAGCAGAGAAGCAGGCCAGAGTGTGAACCTTTTACACAGGCTTGACACACAGGAAACTGAGGTGTAATGAAAAGCAAGACACTTTCCTTTATATAATTTCATACTGACACAGTATCACATAAACTCCAGTCTTTAATATTAGTATTTACAGTACACATTAGATGTGAATAGTACTGCATGAAACTGTGACTAGTAGCTACAAAGTGGGTATGTTTGAGATTGTCTTGATGTGTAAATCATGCAAAACAATAGGAGCTACTTATAATCAATGTAGGAAACTATAATGCATTAAACTATTTGGTAAATTAATAACACTGGGTATAGAGATCAGGTGGCGCAGCTTTGCCTGTTAATATGTTGCTATCTATTCCTTAAACATGGAAACAATCTCTCTTTTCTATGTATGCAGTAGGTATAATTCAGTGTAGCCTCAGACTTGTTGTCCTAGGGTGCGGTGAACTTGCCTTGACAGGATGAAGTGACAATATTTTTATATTATCCAGTAACACTCAGACTGACTGTTTTCAAGAGCATCACATTTTTGTAAATCAGGTAGAAGGAAGCCTCTTAAAGTTCAGTGAAAGCTTTTGGGACACAAATAAAACCCAAGTGGCTCTGACCAGCTGCACGAGACAGGACAGACTCCATACTGAAACACTTGTGCTGTCAGCTGGATGCAACGTGATGAGAGGGAGCTTGACAAACCTGTCTATATCTATCTGTAAATTAACAACAAGGTATAACAGCAGGTCCTGAGGCATTCTACAAATGGCTGACACACATTGTGCCTTATAGAAACAAAATGCCTTTTAAAAAGGACAACATATATTCAGGAGCCACATTCTGTAAGGTTATCTTAGTTCACTTTTCTTCCTCTTAAAGATGACTATACAATATGACAGAGCAGATATGCCAGGAAAAGGAGAACTAGAAGACAAGTTTCAGTGAGTGACTGGGGAAAAGCAGTCATGCAGTAATCATACAAAAACAAAACAAAAAACCCCCACCAATATTCACTTTGTAGCTCTTTTTCACATCATGTGCTGGTATTTGTTCTGGTGTAAAGGCTATTAATGTGACAGGATGTTCTATCACGAAACGCCGCTTCTTAACATTTGGCCCCTGCCCTTCAGCTTTTTAAATATAAATGGTCTTTTGGATAGATTACAGTCTGGCTTCAGACCAACACCATAGCACTGACACTGCACTGATAGGGGTGTTAAATGACATTCACGTCAATACTGACTCAGGTAAAACATCAGTCTTAGTGCTGCTGGATCTCAGACTTTGATATTGTGGACTATAAAATCCTATATGGGTGAGATTATCAGGTACACTCCTCAGTTGGTCCAGATCATATCTCGAAGGCAGGGCTATGTTGTTTCCATTTGTGATAATAAATCTGAGTGGATCACCATGACATGTGGAGTCCCCCAGGGTTTGATTGTTGGACCACTCAATTCAAATGCAAATACTCCCTCTGAGTCATATTATACATGACAATAATGTTGCTTATCACAGTTGACATTTAGATTGACTTGGCTCTTTACCAAGCGACTATAGTCCATTTGACTGGCTTTGTCAATGCTTAGAGCAAGTAAATACCCAGATGCAATTAAATTTCCTTCAGACAGAAGACAGAAATTGTTATTTTTGGCCACAGGAAGAAAAGAATGAAAGTTTTTGCCAAGCTTAATTCCAGAACTATAGTAACAAAAACTCAAGTTAAAAATCTTGGTTTCTTAGCCGATTCAGAACTGAGCTTCAGCAGCCACCTCAACACCATAACTAAATCAGCATTTATCATCTCAAATAGCAAGACTTTGAGGTCTCATGTTCAGACAAGACAGAGAGAAACTCACTCACGTCTTCATTTCCAGCAGGGTGGACTACTGTAACAGTCCTTTATCTGGTCTTCTCAAAAAGACAACTTGGGTTCATTCAGAACACTGCTACCAGTATTAACAAAAACCAGGAGAACTGAGCACACCTTAAATCCTTACACTATCTACCAGTTACCTACAGAACAGATTTTAAAGTGCTACTGCTAGTTTATAAAATCACTCACTGGTATGGGCCCAAAATGCATTTCTGATCTCAAGAAAAGAACCCAGCAGGGTTTTTAGATATTTAGGAGGCAGTCTGCTGGTAGAACCGCAGGTCAGAACCAAACAAGGTGAAGCTGCTTTTAGCGACTATAGCGCACACAGATGGAACCAACCTTCTGATGACAACTTTTACATCTAGATTGACAACTGTTTTGCTTGTGCCTCTGAGTAACTGGTTTCTCTGCTGCACTTCTGTCGCCCGTGTTGCATGTAGGACAATTTACAACATATTATTGCATTGTAGCTGCTCTGATCTTTTATTTTGTCTGATTTTATTTCATTTGAATTAATTGAGGTTAATTAATTTAATTATTTTGTCTATTTTCTGGTTTTTAATGCTAATTGTTTGTTATGGATGGTAAAGTTTTCTTTGCTTTGTAAAGAACTTTAAATAGTCTGTGCACAAAAGGTACTAAACAAATAAAGCTGCCTTGCCTTCATGTTCAACAGCCCTCAGTCGAGTTCTGAGGAAAGAAGGGGGTAGGCAGAATACAGTGAGGAGAGCTTGAAGGTTTATAAAGAGATTAAAAATGTTTTACGGATTAGAGAGTGGTAATCTGTGCTGGCTCAATTAGGTCACTTTGTGAGACAGCAATGCTCTTGAAAATGTAAGAAAAAAAAGGAAATAATTTAAAACAATTACCTGCTATCATGCCTACTGTAAACAACAGATCTGACCCACTGGGGCATATTCTTGCTAAATCAAATGAGTCAAGACATTTTCCATTCTCTCTCACATGGCTAGCTGCAGTCAATTTAACGTATGTGTTTTGAGGACAGCTGCAGCCCTCATACAGCACAGACAGCCAGGCAATGTTGCAACATGCCTGCTGCCATATCTTGGAGTACTGCTCCATCCTAAAATACAGTATAACAGCTATTGTAAAACAACGAGGGAGAGTTCACCTCTCCCTAAGTAATGACTGCTAATAAAATCCATGCCCTACTTTATAACAAGTAATATAACATTTTACTCAACTGGAGATGGATAAGCAAATGGATAAGGAGATAACATGTATTCCTCATTCGTAATAGCTGCCCCGCTCAAGGCTGAAGAATCAGATTTAATCCTCACCGTAGCACAAACACATCCTTGAACAAATTCATGTTGTGGCTATGCATTTTGGTAGATAATCCTATTTTTGTGAGATAAAATATCTCATAAATGAAGACAAAAGGCCAAGATGTATGTGATATCACACTATTCCTGTTATAATGAATATGAAACATTTTTAAGGTCAGAGGATAACTTTGTGATAAAGGAGCACATACTCTGGATTAGATATGTTAACACAGCAGTCATTCCCTTTTTTTTTTAACTCCACTTACCCTAATGTTTTCATTTCAGAACAGTTAATTAAATACGAATACCTGTTTTAGCTGCTTGTACTGTTACACATGCACCTCAGACCCATATCTACAGCCCTTACACTAAACACATTCCCATTCCCTTCTTGCACGGTGTCTTAACAAGCACTGACTCGAGACATAACAAACACAACATTTTACACCCACACAGACACAAAGTCAAGCTAAGGGCTTGATTTTTACATGTATCACTTCTCTTGGGGCATTTACATGTATTATTTTAGAAAGGCATCTTGAAATACAGCAGAGCGAAAAGAAGCAGAGCAGCTGCTGACCACATAAACAATGTTAGGTTTTAGTAAAAATGCAAATGCTTAAAAAGCATAAAAAGGGAAGTCACTGATGCTGTGTGTAAGTATGAAAGAGGACGTTTAGATGGAAGACCCAAAAGGGCTATTCCCTGTAAGAAGAGGTGAGAATCTTGTTTCACCACTGAGTCATTAGAAGGAAGTGCACCTCTCAGTTCACTAGAACATACACCGTTGATTCAGGCTCACTGTGTGAATGCAAGTCAGGGTATTTTTCTTAGCTGGTCTAAATCACTTGACCTGGATGCGATAAATTGCTCTTATGGGGACATACCTGCACAAATCCGCAAAGGCCTGGAAATTCAGCTTCTTCATCTTCTTCTCGCTGAGCCAGTAGCCGACTCTCCGGCCTTTCAGGAAGGTCTGCATCTTCACTGCGCTCCTGGACCTTACCTGGCGGTAAATGATGTGACTGACGACTCAACCTGGACACGCCAAAACAGGAAACAATCGTCTAATTACTTCACAACCCCCGAGCAGGGCAAGGAGTTCATGACTCACGTTGTGTTAGGTTACTCAAACAGTCAGAAGTGGTGCTTTCTTCTAGTCTGACCCTCAAGCCTTATGCTCCTCACGGTTAACATGTTCTGCTTTCCAAACGGGATCTTTCAGTGAAGTGATTCAGCATCAGCAACCCACACACGTTGACCCCTTTTTGCTAATTTCGGCAGCTAACATTAGCCTGTTAGCTGGGTAATGACAACCGGCAAAGCTAACCGATGGCATGCAAACAAACGTAAGATAGCGTGCTAAAAAGGCTGACCAGCGTTAAACGGGTGAACATATTCAAGCCACTTCCATTAGGCACTGAATTAACTAACAGTGACTAGCAACCGCTAGTTAGTTAGCTAACAGATGAAGCAAGTGACATAAGTACGAATAACGCTGGCAACAACGAGAGGCTGTGTGAGCTAACTAACCTGGTAGTTTTAGCAGAGTTCCCCTCTGAATGTGTCCTCTTCACAAACTAGAGCGGATTGTTTCCCATCCTTGGTCCGTCCGGTGGAGGAAAGGTAGAAGTTTTCAAACAAGGCACCAGATGACAGGCAGAGCTGGACGCACGTTGCGATGTTCCTGGTGTTTTTGCTCTGTCTCTGTGCTGACTGCACACACCCAGGATCCAGGAGACTGATGCTGCCTTCACGACCCCCACGGAAAATACCACTCCCAGCTGTCGAATCACACTCAGTACTGATTTCACGTGCTGTCATTATCGATTAACTTGGACATTATTTTCTCGAACGATCGAGAAAGTCCTTTTGTCTCATATTTATTTTGCTTGACATACATGTCTTATTTCAACTCATATATTTTATTTATAGGACTAATATAAAACACAAACAAGCAGAAGGGGCTGGGACAAAAAATGGTTGAAGAAATTGTTTAGCAGCTGATTAATTTTCATAATTTTGTCTAAAAATGTCAGAATGTAAATGTCATTCACAACACAACTACATAGCTTGATCAGCAGGCTAAAACCCAAATATTATAATTAGAATAGAATTATGAATTAATTATTAATAGACTAAAACATGAAAATGGGGAAGCTAGAGAAAACAGATAATTGTTACTTTTCCTCTCCAACAATAAACCCATTAGCTGTAGATTAATGTTTGGTTGAGACTAATAAAATAAATAACTTTAACTATAATAATAGTTTTTACATAGAGCCAATAGGCTAAATCAAAGTCTCCTGTTCAACAGAGCATGAAGAAGATAAGGATGAGTCTGGAGATTCTGAATGTCAACTGGATATTTAATTGATTTTTATATTAATTTATGGGATACTGCCATTAAAATATATTTTAATGGAACACTTCAACATATTATATATTATGCTTATTATGTATATGCTTCAAAAGCCTAGACAATATTTGAACCTAAAGACGTAAGAACGTGTAGGGTCCGTTGCATCCCATGGCCATATCCTCAGCCCAGAGCACTGTGGCTTAAACATCCCTGTAACCAAACAGAGAAACATCTCACAGTGGCGCCATCCACTGGAAAAGAGCTGCAATTATTTTGTTCTGATTTACAGCAAAACTAACAACTAGGCTATAATGTAAAAGTTATATGTAGGTCATTTTCCCTATGGAAAAGTAATACTGGTTTCCTCCAGGCATAAGCCAACACTGGCTAGATTGTCCACAAATGTATCTACATTTGATTGAGTAATTATAGGCTATTATTTATTTATTATAGCCTATATTATTACTCTACATACTCCTAAAGGCTGTTCAGTCAATGAGGTAGGCTATAACTTTAAGTGCCCTGGACTTTTTCTTTATAAACCTTGCTGAAGTAGGGTAATTGAGAAAAAAAATTGTGAATGTTTGACAGAAATGAGTGATCCTGGCTATAACCTAAAAGGCCCACTTTCTGATAAGGTGGTCTTATTTTATAAGTTCTAGCAGGCCTACTCTCTAGTTCAGTTACAAACCATCTATTAGTAATAACAGCAAACCCTTGGGTTGCCAGGTTGTGACAGGCTATGTCTGGTTGGTGTTTATCTTTTCGATTTGGTAAGGATGTTCTTGTGCATGCTGGTATTAATTAATTAATTGTTAATAAAAACATTTTGTTGCAGATCCTCTTAGGAGGTACCTAGCTAGAGTTAGTTGTAGCCCTGGCTATTATGATCCTGTGATCAAAGTGCTTTTGACAACCTGGCATTGTACACTTTTTCTTATTAAAAGCTTTTATTGATCTAGATTCTAGAACCATTAGTAAATTATTTATTAGCCCATTAGTTTTAAATTATCGAACTTATGAAGGGTGTTAAAAAACGTAATAAGTCATTTAAATGTAAAACTATCGTTATCATAGAAATACAATGTTAAGCAGCTGCTTTGTGTTGATGTATCTTGCGTCACTTCCTGCACGTGGTCTCGGCCCAAACTCCCGCCCGGAATAGTCGCTTGTTATTGTGTTGCTCACACTTAGCTGTCTGTTTATTGTATGCAATACTTTCAACCAGGATGGCAAAACGACAAGGCCACTCAGACCACGATGGTATGGTTGTCAGCAAGGAAGAACTCGAAAGGGCTTTTTGTGTGCTCGCTGGGAGCGACTCAGAAAACTGCTCCTATTCCCGGGTAAGAAAAGCTTCCTGCAGCAATAGCCTTTATCCGCCTCTGTCGCATCATCGCTTTTTTCCAAATACAGGTAACTTACAGCAGTTTTAGATCTAGTGCCGTGTTCATTGAGGGTGTTGAAAACGTCAGGCTACAGTTGTGTTGTGTGATATATTTTTCCTACCGACTTTGTTCCTCTAACGAGTTAGTCGTAGCTGTGGGGCACTCAGGAGTGGAACAGGTGAAATTATACGGTTGTCCTGCTTGGTTTCACTTTCTATTTGCACGAATTGAAACCAGAACATATATTTAAGAAGATTGCTATAGTCCTTTCATCACGTCATATTAAATAATATGCATACTGCTCTATATTGTACCTTCTGTGTTTCTTGTTGCAGGGCTATGTGAAGAGACAGGCTGTGTTTGCCTGCAACACCTGCACCCCCAGTGCTGCGGAGCCTGCTGGGGTTTGTCTGGCCTGTGCCAATAAATGCCACGATGGACATGATATTTTTGAACTCTATACAAAAAGGTTTTTTTTGTTTAACTGTTTCGTTGTGTGTAGTACTGATCATCCAAATATTAGCCCACTGTGTGCTTTATCATCCGAGCCCTTTTCAGATTCGTTCATTTTTCTATTTTTCTTTTGTAGAAATTTTCGCTGTGATTGTGGAAATGGCAAGTTTCGGGGTTTTCGGTGCCAGCTAATCCCTGTGAGACCTCTGTTTTTTTATTATTATTATTTTTAATTTCTGCTTTGTATCACTACAGTGTATGTGCTGTTTATCCTCTGATTGTTGAAGTTATTCCATCTCCTGTATTCACAGACTAAAGATGAGGAAAACATTAGAAATCACTACAACCACAACTTCAGTGGCTGCTATTGCACATGTGACCGCCCGTATCCGGACACAGACGATCGGGTATTCTTTTAGTTTGCCTCATGTAATGCTCTTTATGTTTGTCTGCCATCTGTCACTACACAAAACACGTTTTTAATCCCCCAATAGGTTGATGATGAGATGATCCAGTGTGTCATCTGTGAGGACTGGTTTCATACCAGGGTAAGCAAGAGAGGGTTTTTTTTTAACACTTTAATTCACATTTATACCGTAATGAGTCTCCTGCTCTCCATTTAGTCACTTTTGTTTGGCTTTTACAGCACCTAGGCTGCAATGTAGTGGAACCTGAGGAGCTACTAGAGATGGTGTGTGAGCCCTGCATGAATAAGGCCCCTTTCTTGTGGATGTATGCTGCTTACTTTGCAGGTGAGTAATTATGCAAGCTGCAGAAAACCTATATGTCTAACTCTGCAAACATGTAACAATAAAATCCAATGAGTAATTTTAGCACTTGTCTTTTCCTTGAAGTGCCACCTGTGATCAGTGTCAGTCAACCTAAGGAGGAGATAGAGGTTGATGTTGAGGAAGGAGGAGAGAAGGAAGAAGACTCTGAGCCCGGTCAAAGAGGGGACCAGGACCGTTCAAAGAGGGGCCCAGGAGCCGGCCCCCGGTCAAAGAGGGGACCAGGAGCCGTCCCCCGGTCAAAGAGGGGACCAGGAGCCGTCCCCCGGTCAAAGAGGGGATCAGGAGCCGTCGCCCGGTCAAAGAGGGGATCAGGAGCCGTCCCCCGGTCTTGAGCTTATGAACCAGGAGGTGAGAAAGAGCGTTTATCTAGCCCTCTCCCTCCATTTCTATCTTTGCATGGAAGGTTTGCCATATGAACTGTGGGACAAAAAAAGATTATGGTGAGTTAAAGTGAACAACAAAACACCTACTCACACCATTACAACATGGTTCTGACATATACTCCACTAACCCTAAACAAAAGCGCACATGCTGAACAAATGGACAAACCATAAATTTAAGTTTCTCCTTGTTACTTTTCCAGTGATCGCTCTTTGTTATGCATACAAGCCTTTCTGTATTTTCCTTAAACTGTGCTCATGATAGATAAATACAGGAATATTTAAAGGCATAATATAATATCATATATAATATATAATATCAATTGGTAGAGTACAACGATATAGGCCGTCCCTGGTGGGCTAGTGGCTCTTTTTTTTACAAATTTTTATATTTTTAAAATAAGTTTTTCCAACGTTTTGAAATTGAGTCCGTTACGCTTTTTTGATACAACTTCTCCAGCTGTAGAAAACACCCACTCACACGTCACAGATGAGGCTGGAGTGCAGAGAAATTGTAAGGCAAGTCGGAAGAGGTTTGGATAGATTGCCTTTTGGTTGTCCCAGTATCTCATAGGATCCTGGGACCTGGCAATACCTTATTTTCCGATATGAGATCAAAATGGTCCCACATGGCGGAAACCTTTCTTTTGGCTTGAAGCTGCTCTATAATTCTTGGTGAATGTGATGATGAACCGCAAAAGATCAGAGATTCGTTTTGGCAGATGCATCCCGTTGACATATGCGCTTCCTTATAAACATAGTTTGGCGCGGCAGTGTCAGTTCGAAACAGTTCCTGTATCGGTCACGTGACTTTCTTAAAGCGATACGCGCACCAACACGGGGTTTTGCTCTACGAGCTCGACGCATGTGGCGACGCATCGGTGGTACCGGACCCATCACTAGTGGCGACCCCTAAACGGGAAAAAGCTGAAAGTGACTTTCTTTCAGCGTACAACAGTTTACTCATTTCATTTATACCCTCTTCCATAATGCAAAAACTGTCCACAGCTGTGAGTGTGGCTTCATATGGACTTGCACTGTGTACTGAAGGGATAGTGAAAAGCGGTTTGCTTGTATGGTATCTGACTGCTTGCTGTGCACATTTCTTTTGTGGCAGCTGCCAGGTTTCATTGCTAGTCTGCCACTAGGTGGGGCTAGAGAGTAATGTGTGGTTTACAGCCAAAAGAGCAGGCTTCAGCTCCTGTTACCATGCTTTCCCCTCCTCTGGGTAATTAGAGGAGTAATGATCCATGACGCGCTGCTTCTCCTGCTCTGTAGACAGCTTTGGCCAGGCTTCACAGGACAGCTTACTGTAAACTGGCAATTTTCATCGCCCAGTCATCTCATATCGGTCACCACGAGACTTCCCCAGAGGAGTCCGCAGTGCAGCATGCAGAGAGGTTTCACAGGTGCCATCATCTGCCCCTCCTACTAGTATAACACAGTAGTTTGCTTCGCTCTCTGTTTTTACTTGTGTTAGCAAGCAGCAAACAGAAGTTTCCCTTATGAACAGACCCGGGAAGAAACAGGCAGCCCCGGAACAGCCACCACTGAAACTGCGAGCTGCAAGCTGAAGGAGCTGCAGGCCAAGGGTCCAGAGAGGCTGAGACAGGGAGCGGTGTTCTGGCCCTACAGTTGGCGCTCTAAGCTTTGCACCTGCACAAGCTGCAAGGTAGGCCACAAATAATTGCTCTCAGAGTATAATATAGACTTTGACAAAGGGCAGCAAGAACTTAATCTTCTTTTTAATGGATGCTCCTCTACTACGTGTTGCATTGGTACACAGAAAGCATACGTGGCGGCTGAGGTGCAGTTTCTTATGGATCAGCTGGACACCGTTGAGGCCTATGAGAAGAGAGGCTTGGATAAGCCATTTGGGCAGCACCTGCTGATGGCACTGACAAGCTCGATGGACCATGTACAGCAGCTGGAGGTCATTTTCGGTGAGTGTGGGTGTAGTTTATCTCCTAGGATGCAATCATGCAAAGTGAAATTTATGGGAAAGGTGGCCGATTAAGACTGGATAAATCATGTGCTCTGTCCTCAGGTATCAGTGAGCTGACGACTTTGATCAGTGAATTTTTAAGCCAGTGTGTTGCTGAAGGAAAGGTGAGAGATGGGACCTTTTAGTGCAAATATAATAAGTATGTAATTATTGATGCATAGGGAAAGGGTTTCATTTTACAAATATACCTATTATATTTACATATGTGCAGTTTAGCAGTCAATCAGGCTTGATGGACACTGAGTCTTGCATATGTTCCTTTTGTTTTGTCTTCCTGACCTATTCCTCTATTCCTCTGTTTTTTATCAGACTGTCACAGTCGAAGCCGTACATCAGTTCTTCGAGGAGCTGCAAGATAGAAAAAGACGTAGAATCAGTGCAGTATACGAGTAAGAAGGAGGCCATGCTGCTAGCATCATATGCTGGGTTCATATGGTGTGCTAAATGGATGGGTCACCCGATCCTGTTTTCTGTTGAATAAAGGGCTTTTTGCTGCAACCCATGTGGTCCTAGAACTTGAACTATATGTGCAAAGAGTACTGACTTCCAGTTAAGATTTATTTCTAAGGTGAAGGATTTTGAGGTTTGAGGCTACTTTTATGTCCATTTCTTTTACATCGTGTTTTCTAAACTAAAGAATAAAAGCTAATGTTGGTGTCTTTCAAAGTGCAAAAGCCCTTTTTTGATCGTCTCGTTCTTTAAAAAAATTTTTTTTTGATGCTTTAAGCTCAAAATAAAGTTTTTTTAAATTGCTATTCACTCAGCACTATGCTGTGTTTTAGACTTTTTTCCAGCACTATTTGTTTAAAAAGAACAGGTTGGCAATAATGAGCATCACATGAACATTTGATTGAGATAAATGCCAGTATGTTTACATAGAGATGAAGACACATTAGCAAAAGTGAGGTGAAGGAATATCAGTATTGTGGCTTAATGACAAAAATCTAAAGTTATGTCTCTAGTGCACAAAACAACCCAGTTGAGATCAGATAATTTTCCATAATATCAAATCAGTTTATTTTGAGGATGCTCAAGTTGACCACTGTTATGCACCTTTTGAGGTGACAGTAGAAAAATAGATTAAGTGAAACTAAATCCAACTTAATATCAATCTACAAACATGTTTTCTGTAACATACAAGTACAATGTACCTGTTACAATTAAACATAAGCATCCCACCTTTCAGATGGTTCAATTTCAAAATGTGCTAAACACCACTATGTACACAAAATGAGCTACATGAGATTTCAAAGAACTATCTGATGCAGGCTGGTAGGAAAGATCTTGCATAGACATCAAAGTCACTTCTCCAATAAAAGCCCAGCCGCAGGCAGGGGAAGGCACTGACTTCTCTACAGCAAAAAGTAAAACGACAACTTTTATTCAATGGAACATTGTCCTGGAAAAGAAAACTATCCCACATGAACATGGGGAGGCTTTGCATTTTTTCCCCATGAAGCAACCTAGATGGAAAAATCATTTTTCTGCCTGGCAATTTTTATCAATGCAAAGCAGAAAGCTCATATTTTCAGATCCTCTACATATTCCTGTTACTTTTCAAGTAAAAGAAAATGGGGAAAAACATCTATGAACATGGTAATCCACACTACCGACAATATTAAACAGGCTGCCTTAAATGCCTATTATTTGAGAACAAAACTGAGACAATCTTTGCTTTGTACCACACATTCTTGGTGAGAATTCATGACAGAAATACACAGTGTTATCCACTACAGTAAAAACAAACCTTCAACAACCACTGAAATGTGACAGAAACCATTAAAAAAAATCTATCAGAATATTTCTGTTTATTATATACATTTTCTATTGGAGATACGAGTCAGCGATTGCCAACTATTCTTCAATACAACTCCTTTTGTTCCAAACTCATTTGTTCTTTTTCCATTCAGTTAATAAACAGGTGGCTCCTACAGTGCAATGATACTCGAGGTTGTATGCCAGCGATTGGCTGTAAGAGGCTTGTGTGTGTACTTGCAGGGTTGTGGAGCTACAGCTGCTGTGGCTCTTAATATATTTAAACGGTATCAACACTGATGATGCAAGACCACAATCTCCCATCAGGTGGTGAGATGGTGTATTTACATTTGGGTTTAGTGAAATTCACCTCTACCACCCAGAGAAGAAGAGAAGTCACCCAGAGAAGTCAATGTGTCCGTAGTGAAAAGAACAGTCAAATAAGCAATTAACAGGGGTTGCGATATAATGACATCATACTTGATTGAATAAAGGTAGCTAAAACTGAATATTCCAAGCACTGGTTAAGGCCTTAGATTAGATTACTTGATGCTATTGGATTAAACAGAACAAGAGGGAGCTCTAGCACACTGACTACCACACCCTGTGCCAGTGACTGTTTAATCCTCTCACACTCTGATATGTACAAACAGACCTGACTAAAAAGGGGAGTGTACAGTACTGAGATTGTCTAACACCTGTGTATCAATGTAATCCTCACGTACATACACCTAGTCCAGAGGCAAAACCAACAAACACCCAGCACTCCGTTTAATCACTGTATGTCAGTTGCCATGGTACCCCAAAATTTTCTACTGTATGTCAGTAATGAACCTGCCCGCGATCCTCCTGCCTTCCCCGCTCAGGCTTCTGCTTCTAAGCTACACACTGAGAGGCTGTGTTAAGATAAAGCCTGACATAATTATCAGACTGGGTTACTGGAGAATGACAACCACTAAAAGGACCTGCTTTCTGTCAGATCCTAGTCCTGCTTTGTGTGACCAAACCTTGGCCCATTACTGATCAGCACAGCTGAACCATGGCCAGAAGGGGAAAACTAGTCAGGTGGGTTACTGTAGGCATATTACAAGAAGAAATGGAAATACAAGTCATGGGTGAAAAAGAATACAGCCAGACATATTTACATATGATTTAATCAAAATGCTCTGTCCTGGACTGTGTGCCACTGTTTTTGTATAAATTGAGATTCCAACTTAGCCATCTCCCCATTCTGTGCTGGAAATAATCAAGAGGTAACAAAGCTTATGAATATATTTTCTGTTAAACCATCAGTTTATAACTGAGCTACATCTAGTGTTGTGACCTCCCCGTGTAGGATTCACACAGCACAGAGCTAACCTCTTCCTTTAAAAAACAACCTAAAAAGACCAATCCATCCCTGTGGAGCCCAAGTCATCCTCTAAAACAGCAGGACCAGGCAGGCTTGCAGAGCTCAATTACAAGTATTGATAGTTAACCTACAACTCTTACTCTTTCCATAATCTGTGTGATGGATAGCACAGTGTGACAGAGGTAGGACAAAAGGACATCCTATAAATAGCAACCATTGACCAACCCCTATCCCTGCTCCTCTCAAACACACATACGCAGGCACGCATTTAGTGCTTTGCTATTCATTATGAAGGACAGTCACACATCACTTTTCTCTTTTCTTAACTCAACTCCAGATCCTCAGCTGGCGTTAAAGTGCAGATTTCTTATAAGGGTAGTCAGGCTTGCTGGGGGACCTGCGGTCTCTGGCAATCTCCTCGCTGACACTATTCCTTTGAGACTGTTGGAGGGCCCCCGGGCCTGACAATTCTCCACCTAGAACCATCTCTTCTGGAGTGTCTCTAGGTCCTGTGTGCCTCTCCTCATAGCGGTCTACATTTCCACTCGAGGACCGTAAGTGGCCTAAGCCATGAGTCAGGTCTGTCTCATTTGATCGACCTCTCGGGATATGTCCCATTCTAGGCTGGGCCCCAGAGGGGCTTGCAAGGACTCCATCATGCCTCTGAGAGGCCATACTGAGGACATCCAGTCGCAGTGGGTCTGGGGCAGTACGTCCCTGCAGGTGGCCCTGGGCCTGAGAGTCAGAAATGTAGGGCGGTGGATAGGAGCTGGAGGGGGTACAGCTGTGGCTGTAGAGGTCTGGTCCTGCAAAGGAGGGCAGAGGGTGAGCGGATGTTGGGGTTGCAGGTCGGCAGGAAAAGTCATACAGGTCAGGGAACTCTGCTTGAGCCTCCAGTTTAGGTTCAGGAGCGTGTCTCTTGCAGGAATGGCCATGTCCAGGACCATGGCCATGGCTGAGGCGGGCAGAGGGACAAGGTCCATGGGACAGATGGTGCCCTGAGGGGCCCATGGGGCTGTGAGGGCCATCTCTGTCCATCTCTACCATGTGCTGCTCCCTAAGAGACATGACTGAGACACCCAGGGCGATGTCAGGCATGAATTCCCTCATAACAGGCTCCACACTCATCTGCATTGGAGAACAGATACAAAAGTGTGATGATACCTGACAACTAGGCTGCTCATGATCCCAGATGAAACTATCACAACTGCATTTGAAAAAACAAAACCGTAGCACAAGGACTCTAGGAAGCAACACACACACTCACCGCTTGCTGGTCTGAAAGCAAAGCTCGGCCCATAGTCTGAGGGTTGGTGCAGTCTGGGGGCTGGGCCCTGGGCACAGAGGAGTAATCTGAGCTGCCATGCTTGGCGGCTGCATGCCGCTGGATCAAGGTGCGATTGCAGGGGTAGGAGAAGGAACGGGTGGGGGTCGGTATGGGCACACGAGGTCGCCAGGCACCCTTGAGCTGAGCATGGCTGGGTGTGGTAGGGGGGTGGTATGGGGGAGGTGGAGGAGGTAAAGGAGGGTGGAAGCCTGCTATCCCTTCCAGATCTGTGAACATGCTATCCATGGCTGGGCTGCTGTTCACCCGACAACGACCCACCTGGCGCAGAGCCAGAAGTGGACTCTCATCTCCAAACCGTTCATCAGGGAAGAATTTGTATGGATTCTGGGGGGGAATACAAAATAAGCATTAAAGAGGTGCTGACAAAGCACACCTTACCATCACTCTTAGTATCCCAGCCTTAGCTGTCTCAACCCCTTTACCTCCTGGGGAACAAAGTGTTTTCTGCTAACCTGCAATAGCTCAGTGGCGCCGTCTGCCAGACCAAACTCCCTCAGTACGCGCAGCTGTAGCTCGTAGCTGACAGTGGCTCCTTCACCACAGTTCAGGGCATAAGCTCTCTGGACCTGCTCTGTGTGTCTCAGTTCCTGCAGCCTCCGGATCATCTCCTTCACCACCGACAGTGGAGGCACTGAAAAGTGCACAAACACACACATTAATGGTCCTTTTTTGATACTGGTTACCATTTGGTAACAGAAACATCAACAACTTTCTTACCTGGAATTTCATTGGCCACAACTGATGGAACTGAGGTTGAATTGCTTGCCATTTGCTGATGATTAATCATGTGACAGCACTGAGGCACAGTGTTGTTGACCATATAGAGTGTGTCTGGGACATTGGACATTCGCACTAGTCGCAAACGCACCAGATCTGTCTGCTCCACCATGATTTCATCAAGTACAGACTGAGGACATATGGACAGGACATGACAATTTTAAAAACAGTCCTATGTGAGACTCAAGGAGAGGGTCTGCAAATTAGTTCCACTTGATTGACACGCTATCTAATAGCGACTCTGGTGTGTAGATACTTTCATAAATATTCATGGCACTGGAAGGCCTATACATTATTAAGATAGAGTTCTAGAAGACAGTAAATGAATTTCAGTCAAGATGATAGAGGCAACTATTAAAAATTGTAAGTATTCACAGCAACATTTTGGCACAGGTAGTTTTAGCATGTCTGAGCTATTAAAAGGCCCTTAATGATAAGCCTGTCCTTTTCAAACAGCCTTTACTCTCTTTGCTATATGGGACACAAACAATCCACTGCTTCCTGCATGGTGTGGAAGCTCCATTAATCAGCTGTGAATGAGCTTTACCTTAGCCTCCTCCACATAAGGAGAGAAAAGACGGGGGCGCACATAGATGCCAGCGTTCTTCTGCCGTAACCAGGCATTAGACTTTCCCCCCTCAGGTGTGGGCAGCATGTCTGAAGGAGGGGTGCTTATCAAACCCCTTTTAAGCTATGAACAGGGTGAAGAATGTGGATCAGTGCTTGGTTTAAGAAGGTCACCACGACCCAGGTGCACACTCATACACACAGCAGCTGAAAAAAGGCAAACAAGGAATACTAACCGCATCAGCGAGGACATCACTGTTGGGAGGTAAGATGTGCTCAGTGCGGATGAAGGGCAGGAGTGGAGACAGGATCTCCTTTAGCTCCTCCACATCCAGGTCTCTCCTTTTGACTCCCCTCTTGTTTACACTATGAGCTGTGCCACTCAGCAGGTTGGGCTCTGGGTAAATGAGGACACAAACAGCCATTAGCAGCTTTTTAATAAAAGGCATGCGACCGTGAAGAATTTTAGAACGATGATTATGCTTTTAATGTGTTTACATCAACCTTCAAGCTATTTTTCAGATTGTTCAGGGAAGTTCAATTTGGTAAATTAGGCATAATTACTGCTTGGCCTGGTGTGTGGTTCAGCTTTCTAAAGATTTGCTAGCCCGTACAGCATGATGACTAAAAATCATGACCATGCTTACTAGGGCAGAGCACTTGACATGACAACACTTCCTGCTGCCTTCGTTTTGAGGGTAGTAAAGTTTGGCCTTTTTTTGTAATGCTTTTAAGTATATTTTGGAAACTGGTAAGTGGGTAATTTCCTCAGAGTCATTAGTGGGCCTGCTCAGAGGGTAATTACAGAGTGTATTATCTTACCCCTGTCTGCCATCCTCTTAATAAGCTGCTGCTCGCCCCACTTAATAACATACTTGAGAATGTCCTGTTCACTTGCCTGAGAATGAGACCAAGGTACAGAGAAAGAGAGGGAGAGAGATGTAGGACAGGGAGAACGAAAGACACAAAAGCATTATAAGGACAAGGTAATAATATACTACAGTGGTGTCCCAGCAAAGCTCAGACCTGGCTGGTGTGCTTGTCATGTTGGATTACAGCACTTCACCTCAACCATCTGGTCTGATGCCTGAGTAGCTTGGTAGTGCAGATGACAACTCAGCTCTGATTAGATTCTGGAAATGAAGGCATTTCCCTGCAGTGAATGGTGTTACTCAACTCTGGAAACCCCGAGTGTGGTTAATGTGCATATGTGTATAGGGTGTGATTAAGACAGATTGTGTTAATAGCATGTGTGCGTTTATTGCATTTTTACCAAGCAGTCATTGTCAACAAGTCAGGCACTTATTACTGAAACTTCAAGCCAGGAAATGTGACGACAAATTGATGGGTGATGTTCTGTTTACTTACCTGTAGATAGTCAGACTGAATTGCACTGAGAAGGTGCTCTTTGTTAAGCTCGTAGAGAACATCTGAGGTGACAATCTGACTAAACTCCTCGCAAAGGAAGTGCATGGCCTGCCTGTGGACCCACTTGGAACCATACGGCTGGGAGCTCCACTTCAAGATGGGGACGAGTGAGTCTAAAGACAAGCTTTCCAAAACAATGTCCTCACAGCCTGGGAAAGCCAATGAGACAAGCACTTTAAAACTTGATATTCCATAAACTCTCTTTATGATGTATTAATATACATCATAACCCCAAAACAAGTACAGATATTCAAACCAGCAGTATAATGTTTACAGAAAAGTAGTGAATCGAAAAAGATTTGGAATACAAGAGGTAACTCTGCAGCCACTGCCAGAGTATGGGTGGTTTTGACTCCCCGTTCACTAACCAGGGGAGTCTACCTTCAGTAGCCCCCCACATCCTCCTTGCTGTGTTTTTCTAAATCGGAGCACATACCAGAACAGCAGGCAGTGGTATAACTCTGTAACACACCAACCCACTGAAATGCCTTTGATACCTTGATGTGTTTCAGTCTCAGGCTGCCTCCTCTTAACCATGGTAAGTAAACACAGCAGCCGGAGGAAGGGTGCTGCCGGTGCAAGAGCGCACACACTTTGAAAATGTGTACGCACTTATGTGCATAAATCAAAAATGCATTACAAAGCCGCTGAAAGCTTAGGGAATTATGTACCTGCTGTTCTAGCCATTAAAAAAGAACCAAGTTTTAAAAACTCAACATACACTGGCACTCAGACTCTCAGGCACTTTTCTGAGAGAGATCCATTTGGGCAGAATAACAGCTGCTAACATCCACTCACATTAACATTTGATTGTTTGGTCAAGCTGTATATACCTGACAAGCATGATCTCTGGGGGCTTTTATTCTCAGTCTTTATCTGCTTAATAGTGTCAAATACAAACCAGACATCCATGGAGATAAAGCCAGAGTGAACAACGTCCAGCCAGAGTTGCTCTAAACTGATATACAAGTTTGCCCACTTCCTCATTCCAGGCTGCAGATTGTGGTTGGACCAGTAGTGGTGCTCCTCTGGAAAACCCTCATCTCACACTAGATGATCTAAGGTGCCTTTCTGTCCCCAAAACACCACTCTGAACATTCACTCTGGGAAACTCGATGCCATAACAGAGCAATGACTCCTGCAAGGTTTTTACTTTTGAATCCAAATCTTCCTGTCAGTCCAAGCACAACTCGACATTTTAAAGATCAACACAAACACACATGTAAGCAATGCTGTACATGCACATAATTATAGACATATACTTATGATGCACTTCCCTTTTTGGGCATCTCTAGTTGCAAGTCAGAGAAATGCAAAGCAGATGCCCACAGGGTTTTAAATGAAGGATGCAAATCCTGCATCGTTAAGAAGACAGATGAAGTTAAAATATGGACCCCAGGCACTTTGTCTTTTTTATCTGCTATGAACACACTGGAAGCGGGAATGGATTCCCAATGGCTGTGCCTCAAAGCACTTTAGCTCACTTCATACTGTCACCTTTGCATCTTTGCCCTCTCCTAAAAGCAGACACACAAGTACACTGGCACACATGTACAAGGGCAGGCAATTCCCTACCTGGGACCTGTATCACAGGAAAAGCAAACAACTCTGTTAGCTCATTAGAATTCATAGTGACAGTCTTAAAATGCAGCACTTTTATTATGAGCTGGAGATTAGAATCAGTATTATATCTAAAACTAACCTGCCTCTTCTTCTCTCAACGAGGCAGTGGAGCTTTTCCAAATGACAACCGACACAACGGGAACAGCTCTGGACTACATTAACTCTGGAGGATAAACACTACCAGTCAAAGGTTTGGTTGAAGTGAACAGAAAAGTGTTTCCCAAGTGTTTGACTGGTAGTGTACCTATTTAGTCTTGATATTATTATTTGGAGCTTTCTGTTTATTGAACTCACAGTCTCCAAAGCCTCTTAAAACATCATCTGCATTAACTGACTGTAAACAAGCCTGTGGATGTAAATCATGATGATCACTTAATGACTGGGACTTCAGTCAACCCACTTCAAGTACAAGATGGAGCAATGAAAACACTGGTCAGTCAGTGAGCATGAAGAGAAAGAAGAGGTATCACACTGCACACACTGAAACCACACCAAGTGGCTATCATTTCTGCAGTACAGTTGAAAAATTAATAAAGCTTTTAATATTGGCTGCTATCTGAGTGAGACAGAGTCATAAAAGAAAACACATTTTGAGAATTAATAGGGAAGAATGACAGAGTTCAACTGTTTCACAAAAAACTGCACAGGCCAAAACTTCACACAGCCAGAGGGGAGTAGCCGAGGCGGAAGACACTGTGACAGATTACAGGGCTCTCTTCATACAAACCCCCTAACATAAGCCTCTCTGCTGCCTACTGGAAAGGCATATAGTAGCAGTGGCTGCTGCTGTATGTCTCCTGCAGTGGGACTGGAATGAGACAAGTTTCAAAATTCATAAGAAACCTACTGATGCCAGGATCGCTTGACACACTGAAGTGTGCAAGATCTAAAATCGGGAGATGACGACCGTGAAAAAAAGGTAATAACAGGAAGTTGTAGATTAGGCAAAGAGAAGGGACATGGATAAAAATGACACCGGGTCACCCTCAACTACCTCATCACATTCCACACAGAGGTTTCACGAAAACTGATTAGAGCTGTGCAGCACAGTTGGAAAGGGAGGAGAGGGGATAAAAATACCCTTC